GTATGTATGTATATATATGTATATATTGTACTATTCTTAGTTAGTGTATTGTCTGTCTTGTCTTAATGTTGGTTTAAAATGGAGCACTGTAACAAAAAAAAATAATTTCCCCCAGGGATCAATAAAGTATTCTGATTCTGATTCTGATTCTGATGATTGTCTCACTTAAAGGTTTCGGATTAAAACTCAGTTTAATATTAGACAAAGATAACCTGAGTAAAAGATGGTGGTGGTTGTGTTATGGTCCTTGACTCAAAAAAATTAAAATTAAAAAAAACTTGAAGGTGACGTTTACCACGTGAAATCCAAAATTAAATGTAATGCTTTGATTTTAAACAAGTTGTTCATGCTTGGAAAATGTAGCTGAATTAAAATTATTAAGCGAAGAAGAGGGAACCAAAATTCTTCAATAGCACTGTGAATGACTCATTACCAGCTATCAAAAACACTTGCAGTTCTTGCTGCCAAGACATTTAAGTACTAACACAGGGGATTGGATAACATTTTTCCTTAAAAATAAAATCATCATTCAAAAACTGCAATTTTTATTCAGTCAGATTGTCTTTGTCTTATCATAAAATATTATTTCAGTTGAAACATGCAGAAGTGACAAATATGCAAATGCCGTTTTAGTTCCTGTCACTAACAGACAGGATTCTTCCTTTTATGTCCCCTGTAAGTGCAGGAAAGGTTGGGGAAGGGATGTAGAGAGAGAGACTTGTGTCAAGACGTTAGTTTGTTGAACAGTAACTTGTGAAATTTCCATGGAAACCAGACTATTTATGTCACGGTACTAGGTCATGTGACCCAGTATGTATGTTGTTAATGTGTCATTTTGTATTAATTTGTGTTCTAGTTTCAGTCAATTTCTAGGTTGCCATTAGTCCTTTGTTTCTTAATTTCTTTGTGTCATCTTTCTCTGTGTTAAAACTCCCCTTGTTGTTTATTGTGTGTTATTGGTCATGTTTCTTGCCTGTCTGGTTAATGTTGTCAAGTTTGTGTCATGCCTGCGTCTTGTCATGTTTTCCTGTTTATTGTGAAAGTCCAGTTTCCATGTCTTTGTGTTTTTGGTTTACATTTCCCGTGCATCATTATGTTCATCCTAGTCAGCTGTTTCCTCATGTGTCTCCACTCCCCCTAATCACATTATGTGTATATTTAAGTCCTTTGTCTCTTAATGTTTTTTGTCAGGTCGTCTGTTATCTTTGCCACAGGTTTTACAGTTTTCCCCCCATTGTTTCAGCGTGTTTCATAGCATTCCTAGTTACTCTGTATTCATAGTATTTCATAATCTTTTCACAGAGTGTCATTGTCTTTTAGTTTATACAGTGTTCATAGTCCCCTTAGTTTTCCCAGTTTCAGTGTGTCTCTAGAGTTGTTCTCATGCCATCAGCCACAATAAAGGCTCGCTTTATTTTTGGAAACTTAGTTCTGTCTTCACCGTGTCTGCTTTTGGATCTACCTCATCTACACACCGGCACACCCTGCCGTGACAATTTAAACATAACAAAAAATCATAAATATGCTTTTAAACAGTGACTTTTTCTTTGTATGCAGGATTTCTTCTCTTTTATTTTTTTTTTCTGTTTTTTCTGTCTTTACTACAGTTTTTTTTTTTTACTGATTCCCAATTTTATTGCTCACAATAAAGACCCTAGAAGACTAATTATTGTCCTGAGCCGTCTTAATTTTCCGAGTTTCCAGCTAAACACAAAACACTTAAATGTGCTTATTTCTGTTACATTTGTTCATAATTTCTTTTTTAGTTGTTTTGAATAAAAGCTGCAGCTGATTATACTTTGTTTATAGAAATTAGAGGAAACTTTCTTACCTTTAATTGTTATTTGAAGAGGATCACAAGCAGCTGTTGCTCTGAACGGCAAGTTCATAATTCTGAAGTAGTATGTGTTTGTATAATTTGTGATTAAATTGGAAAACAGAGTGGTGCAGTTTCTCTGTGTCAGGTTTCCTGTAATATTCATTGGATAGATGTTAAATGTCACACTGCTGTTGAAGATCACGTTTTCTGGATAAAGTCTAAAATTAGTATGATTTTTAATCCACACTGCAAACACAGGTCTTGTGCTGTCAAACTTTACTGGTCCAGCATCACTAAAGTTACATGGGATTTGTAAACAAGATCCACTCAGAGCCTCCATCTCTGCTGCTGCAGTGATGAACAGGTGTGCAGAAGGAGGACAAGCAGCCAAAGTGCCTGAAAAACAGAATATCATGAAAATATAGAAATGTAGATAAAGAGAAAATCCATGATGAACAATCTGACTTTAAGAGTCGTGGGTTTGCTTTTTATCCCTTGTTCTTTTGACATCCTCAGATACTTGACTTTGTAAAGTATCTGTCTGCTCTGATCTGTCAGACTGTAAATGACTGAAATGAGATGGCTCACTTGGAATAAAGAGGAAACTCAGTAACATGATGTCTGTCATAAAACCCATCACCTGGAAAAACATGAAGAAAAGAATCATTACACAAATAAGACACAAAAACAGGAACTTGCCTCATTTTGTAAAGCACTTACAAAACAAAAACTAAAAAAAATCAAATAAAGCCTTTTTTTTTTTCATTGCAATGCACAAAATTAATAAACTGTATAAAGGTTTTCTTACCAAATGATCAGTCTGCTACACAGGAGAGACGACAACGTAAAAGTCAGTGTGTGATTTTAGCAGTGCGAGTGAAACACTTCTCTGTTTAGATGTTGTAATGTCAAAGCAAACAGACCTGTGATAATTTTGGTTTTCTGTTGTTCTTTAATCAGTCAGTCTGCTTTTTGTTCCCATCATGCACTCTGTTGACACTTCAGATGCTGCCACTCCCACCTGCCTCTAGATTCGCCTGACACTCCACTCACATGCAAACATATTCCTCATTCTCTCAGTAGTTCCCTTCCATGTACGCCTCCCTTGGCTTTGTCTGTTCTGCGTTTTTTGAGACTGACCTTAGTGTCCATGTGTTTGTTTTATTTTATTTGCTAAATAAGGACTTTTCATTTTTATTTGTATCTAAAAATATTTTAGATATATTGGGGGTTTTTTTCTTACAGCAACAGAATAATTGCCAAAGAGCTATTACCCATAAACATAGTATCTACATGGTGTACACTGTATTTTCCACACAAAAAAAGAAAGAAAGAAAAATAGAGGACAAACGTGGCATGCCTTAAAAAAAATCTGCAGCACTTTCACAAAAGATTGCCAAATTAATGTCCATGTGGCAGGGGTGTGGTCTCTGGCCTGCTGCTGCTGAGCTTATGGGACAGCGCTGGGATGTCAAAGTGGACAGGTGATTTTGATGGGATTAGTGACTCTCTTCCCTTTTTATAGTGACAGAGGAGACTGGCAAGAGGTGAGTGTATAAGTATAACAATCAAATCATTTTCATTCTACTTATGTTGTGTAAATATTGACACTTCACCAAGTTCTTTTAATTCCTCAGAGGCATCCGATGGAAGACAAAACACTGCTCAGTTGACCATTTAACTCTTTATTTCTCTTTCACATTACTTCTAGACGGGAGATGCGTCCTGCATGACAAACTGTCACGGATCTCAAAATGTTGGTGTGCCCCTAAAAGTTTTATTACAGAAGCTCTCTCATTCTAGTCTAAAAAACAGTGTCTCATTAACTTTCCACTAGAGATGGTCCCCTCTTATCTGCATTTTCCCAGCATGAGCGACCTGTGATTGGATTTCTGTCTTTCTTTTTTCAGTCAGTCTGCTTTTTATGTTCCCATCATGCACTCTGCTGTCATTTTAGAAAGCTGCAACTCCCACCTGCCTCTAGATTCATCTGTTCTGAACCCTCCACTCACATGCAAACATATTCCTCAATCTCTCAGTAGTTCCCTTGAACATGAAGCAGTTTATGTACTCTCCTTTGGCATTGTCTGTTCTGCTTTGTTCTTATCAGTTCTGATATGCGTTTTCTGAGACCAGTGGCTATTTTGAGCTTCCTCTCCATGTTTGTGTGTGTTTGGTTTTTTTTAACATAGAAGTTAGGACTCTGCATTTTTATTTTTATTTTAAGGAAAAGTTTTTTGTTTTGTTTTGTATTTCAGCAACAAAATAATTGCATTAGAGCCAATTACCCAAAAACATAGTATCAATTCAGTGTATGAACCCCCCCAAAAAAAAGAAAACAGAGGACAAAGTGGCACTTCAAAAAAAAAAATCTGTAACAGAGGGGAAAAAATTATTTGGAGGCAAACCATTTTAAAGCAGAGCCTTGAATGCTGACACGTCTTTAGACAGTTTAATAAGATTGTGTTGTTGACAGTGTCAAATACTGCACTCAGGTCTCGAAGAATTAAAACTGTACTTTTTCCAGAGTCAGCAGCTAAAAGCACATCATTGAACACCTTCAGTAGAGCGGACTCTGTGCTGTGGAAGGCTCTGAAACAGACTGATATTTATCCAGAATATTATGTGTGTCTAAGAATGAATATAATTGGTGGAGGACAACTTTCTCGAAAACCTTAGACAAAAATGGCAGCTTAGAGATTCGTCTAGAATTGCCAAATACTGACGGGTCCAAACCAGGATTTTTTAGAAGTGGCTGGACAACAGCTTGTTTAAATGAATGAGGGACAGTTCCATTTGAAACACTGCCATTTACAATAGCGAGGATGTTGGGGCCGACTGTCTTCAGCACATCTCTGAGAAATGGCGTAGGTAACACACCCAAGGGGCACATAGTTGGTTTCATGTGCATTATTATATCAGTAAGATGGGATAATGAGACTGCTTTAAATTCGGAGAAAAAGAATGAACATGTAGGTGGTTCAAAAGGACCGTGGAGCTTATCTTTCTTCGTTCTGCTTTCCTGCATTCCTGTCTGACGCCACGAGTGGCTTTATTTAGCCAAGGCTGAGTTTTAAATTTTTGCCATCTACATTTTAGAGGAGCAATTGAGTCCATAATGTTGGTACAAGCATTGTTTTTTTGTTTTAATGCGA